TATTTATTTATTTATTTAATAAATATGTGTACCTCTATGATTTTAAGACTGGCGTGATTCATGTGGTGAGATCTCCTGGATAAACATTATGTACTGTAATCCCTGGGTTACCTATGTCGCTACTATATCTCTATATCATTTCACTTGGACAGTAGCAATGTTCATTTTTCAGATTTATCAGGTAATAAATTAACGCAAACAAGAAAAAAAACAACTATTAACAGTAGTATGGCTTATTATATCGTGAGGTTTTTGTTCCTGTTAGTGAAATTAATAAATTTTGTCAACCATAGTATTTCCTTTTATTATAACTATAGCATAGAAAACAAAAATAGGCACAAATCTATATGCTAATAATGGTTCAAGTCTTAATTTTTAATCGACTATTCACAATGTTTAGATACTTGGCGAAATGACTACTAACGAAAGACTTAATGCTCACAGATATAAACACTTCCAATTCCCTGGACACCCCTCGAAGATAAGAAGCCCATTTTCGTAAGTTCAAACAAAATTTGCATTTTAGGTAAATACACCTCCGACAAAATTTGCACTTTATGTCAATTTATTCTCGATAAAAATCCTACAGTAGATTTTAGACATTATTAGGAGTATTTTTAGAAAAGGTATGATCAACAATTTATATAATTTTTGTTGTGGTAGTCGAGTTGTTTCTGAGAAAGAAAAACCGTTGGAATAATGACAACTCACCTCAAGTTATTGGCGATATATGTATCAATGTCAGTAATGCTGTACAAACAAATATCACTGCTTTCAAACAATATCACCAGTCTGGAATAAAAGCAAAACAATCCAAACATTTTTGCGCATGTCCTAACTACAACAAGCTGTCATCGTCTTTGTTGCAAATTGTTCGATAACCTACAATATTCTTTAGACTTGTACATTGCTAATCTCTTATATCTCACTTTATAACTGATACCTCTATATATGTGAATTTTTGTATGCACGGGACAGGCAAACTAGATTTTTCTGAGCACATACTACATACCACTCCATTGCTTCATCTAATCCTTCGCCCTTTGTTGCAGACGTTTTAAAGATTTGAAAAGTTCGTGTTCGTAGAGCATCCAGTCCCAAACAACGATGCACGTCAGTCACAGAAAGACAACCAGAAATATCTTGTTTATTTGCCAAAACCAATAAAAGTGCGCCCTTCAGTTCTTCCTCCTAAAAAAATATTCACGAGTCTACAAGGATGATACAATGATGAAAATAATAAGATACTACATATATTTTTCAGAAATATATCGGCAAATTTGTGAACACAGTAATGGGGTACAGAACTGCACACGAAATCTGCGTTTGGAACATATTTCAAAATCAATTACTTAAGATTGGACGATAATGAACAAGCCGCACAAAACCCTTACTCGTACTTGGAGGTTCAATTCAAGGTAGTTTATGTAAGTTGAAACATCAGACCTCTAACATAGACACAAGTTCCTGCTTTGAAATGCCAATCCGATCTTTGTCCGCTGAGTCAACCACATATATGATTGCATCCGTATTCGAGTAGTAACATCTCCAGTATGGACGAATGGATGTTTGGCCACCAAGATCCCATACCTGTAGTTTTATGACCTTAATAAATGGTTGACTTCTGAAGTGCACCAAGATTGTATAAATTTCTGCAACTGGAGAAAGGAGCTATTGGCAGCTAAAACAAAATGAAAGCACAATTCCTTACTCCTGCGATTATAATCACAATGGCACACTCAAAAACTAATAAGAACTTTTCCATTGTATATCAATGTCGCGCTAAATAAAAGCAGAGGCTTTGGCTCAAAGTCTATGTTCGCTACAAAAATACAAGCATGAAGGCATCGTTGAGGATTTCTACATTCTAAGTTCAGTTAGATTTTATTAACACGAATTTTCAGAAAAAGTAAAGAATAGGGATAAGTATATCAAAAGTGAGATTATGATGATTAAATAAATGTACCTGAAACTTGAGGTTCTTATATATAACTTGTTCCACATTGAAACCTATGGTTGGAATCGTCGTCACAACCTCGCCTACCTATAATTGTTAAAATAGCAAAATTCGCATGTTTTGAAATTAGTACGATAAATTCTTGACTTTTTAACCATTCTCTAAAAATAATAGATACTTTCATGGTTAACGTTACCTGAAGTCTATATAAAATAGTTGTCTTTCCCGCTCCATCTAGACCCAATATTAATATTCTCAATTCTTTCCGCCCAAAGAAATCGCGGAAATAACTTAAAACTCCACCTGAAATTACTACAGTAATCATTGTCCTGCACAAGTAGCTGTGAAGAACAAATTCGAAACTGGAGAAACGATGTAACAAAGAAAAAAAACGATGAAAGAAGTAACTCACCCATTAGATGAATAGAATTCTAAACAACCTAAAAATGGTTGGATGAGATATCAAAAACAATAAAAAATATTTTTATGATAACGAACAGACATAGGAAAATGGACTATTTCAATCAAGGAGCAGAAATTAACAGATGAACACAAGGAATGCCTGCTGAATGACTATAAACTGGAAGTAGATTTTGATCACATCCTGAGCATTAGTTTAACTCTACGTAAAATCAAAATATATAGTTGCTACAATCTCAAAACATCATAATTCTTAACAAGTCTATCAATTACAATAATCTGCAACAAAAAACCCAAAATGGTTTTGTGCTTTCACAAAGACAGCACAAATTAAAACGTTCTTGTCTTTATTCTAGATGGAATCAAGTTATAGAAGCATACTTTAATGCGGCCTGGCAAGTGCTGCTTCATACCACTCAGAAGTTATTAAATATGGTAATAACTTATGATCGTGACTACTTGACTCTTATAACTCATTCATTTCACTGGAATGACCATTTACTAGTGTGAAAATAGTGAAGTTCTTGGAAACGGACTTTTAGAAACTATTTCTCTGAGCAAAAGCTCAACGAGAAGTTGACGAGACATATTCTTACAAAGTACAGTTCGCACTTAATTAATGATATTTATATTTCCAGTGTATTTATGCCTTCGCTTGCAAAAAATGTAACTAGTACTATATTCATTTATGTCCTCTTCATAGTCATAAACTGCAAAAGTCTATTTGCATTAAGTCTCTATATTTGGAAGCTTTCAAGAACCGAAAGAAAATAATGGACTATAACGTTTGTGCCCATGCAACCTCTTCTTACAGCACTTCTGAAGGAACGAGATCAAAACAAGGGAGAAAGATACAGAAAGATACGCATGGGATTAATAGAGAGGAGGAAGAGATTACTGCAAAAAAGAGTTCGAAAACCTAAGTAGACGGACACTGTGTTGATCACATTTAGGATATAAAATCTGACCAAAAAATAGAGGATGAAGGAGTAAAACCGTATCCAGAATCACTATCGAAAACAATGGGAAGAGACATGTAGTGGTAAAAAGCTTTGTGCTGCATTCGTTACTCATGGTGTAACGAAGTTATAAAGCTTGTAAGTAGAATCATTCTTATGGAAATATATACTTTACAATAAATGCGCAATTAAATATAAATAATTACAGAATTCTTATTTGAATGAATCAAACTTTTATCGAACTTTGAGCAGAACAATTCATATGCACGCAATAAATATATTTCCATGCAGAGCATCAATATAAAATTTACATATCAAACGATTGTAGAATCTAATTTAATTGTGTTAACTGCAGAAGAATTTGCTTCTGGATCAAAATGACTCAGAACGGCATCATCTCTTGTGAATTATGCAAATAAATTTCACAACTCATCATTATATAACTAGAGTTAGAAAAGCAGATAATAAGAATTCAGTCGTGTCAAGAACAAACCTAAGCTCATTATAAAGCATGTAATGATGGAAAAATCAAAATCTAATCAGACAAATGTTGGCTGCCCTGTTGATGAACAACAAGACGGTAAAAAATACGATTTTTTGTTAGAGAGAGTAACACCATCTACATGAAAAGCAGATCCAAGATGGTCACTATTTTCTGAATCAGAGTGCATGCTAGAAACTAGAAGTCGGTCACGCATCGCCTCTGCTAGACTATAGAATGCTTCATCACAATTGATACCAGTTTTTGCACTCACCTGTAAATTGAAAAATTCTTCACAATCCCACAAATATAATTCGTGAAACCGCAGAATAGTCAAAAAATGATTAGTATTAAAAAAGATTTAAATTCAATGAAATTATTAAGAGCTTTTTCAGCAAAGTGACCTTTGATGATATCTTAAAAAATAATAACTACAGAAAGAAAAAGATTTTCATGTGTTTCTCTTCTATATCTTATTCATATCTAGATAGCCGTATACAAATGTTACAATAATTTTCATCATATTTCAAAAAATAATTTTTTCAGACAAATATTTTCTGTATACTTTTGAAATAGTATCTATATACTTGAAATGCAACCTCAAGCAAACAATTCCTTTCAACTGTACTTTTGGTAATACTCGGTTCATGAAATCATATTCTGTATGGTTCTTTCAGTTCGTTCTGTTTTATCATTAAAGTAATTAGTATTTCTTAAAAAATGACAAAAAAAACCTCATAAAGGGAAACTCCAAGCTGACTGGCAAGTTGCTCAGCTTGTTCAAAATTGACCTTTCTTTTATCTTCCAAATCGGCTTTGTTTCCAATTAGCATTAATATCGCATTTGACGGTGCATGCAACCGAATTTCCTAATCGAAGAAACAAATAGGATAAATGAGGTTACCCATTTTTTTTCTACACCTAAGATGTAGATGAAAAATCAGAAATTACGTTATTCGCAATCAGTTCGTATGGAAACACTATATATAATCAGTATGATTTTAAATTTCGATATATATAGCTTAATCTATATATAAAACGAGAGCTAAAGAACTATTGAAAAAAGTTTCTTTAGAGTAATTAATTTTTCTCAACTGAACAACTCAAAAACGAAAGAAAGTTAGATAAATGTGCCACTGCAGTTGAAAAAAACCACATCTCGAAAAAGAAAATTAATAACACAAGACAACATAGACAAACAGAAATTCATTTTTCACCAAAAGTTTACCTTTAGCCAATAATTACGCAGATTATCAAAAGACTTCTCGTCGGTCAAATCATAGACACACATTATTCCATGCGCTGAATGGTAATATGAATTGTAGATTGTTCGATAACGCTCCATTCCTAAAAAATCCCAAAAAATTACTGATAATCAAAATTTTCATAGCAAATGATTTGCGGCTGTAATATTAAGTCGTTCGAAATTAAGTTTCTGACTCTGATCTTCAAGAAAATAAAATGGTTTCGAAGTGAATAAACATTAAGTAATAACAATCAGATTGCTTCCTGGTATTCCCTAGCGACCTTGTAATGGTTTGGGGAGTAGGAGAAGAGAGTTTGAGATTTTTGCAGTTCAACAGCACATGAGTGCACCATAAAAATGTCTGCAATTTCAATTGTTATCATTATGCTCACGGCAAATAAAATTACTTCATAGAAGAGTTACGATAATTTTCATTTACGCAATCCTTATCTTTCTCTAGATAACCTTGGATTGCTGAACATTCCAAGCCAAATCTTACAAGACATATCAATCAAGAGCTTGGACGACACGCAAGCTAAAGTTAATAATTTCTGAAAAGTGGTTTTTCTGGATTAAAACATTTGATATGAGATGATAATTCCCTTAAGTGAAAATTAGACTGCAAAAATTCAACTGGAATTCGCTACTGGGTTTATGGAATAAATCATAACGATTCATAGTACAATACTTGTTCCACTTGGGACTGACAATGCAAATTAATTAATTTTCTGAATGAAAATTAATGCAGCGCCTTCATGAAATAATTTGATCAAGTTATATAATTGGTTAACAGAAATATATGAAAGTTATACCAGCTGTATCCCATAACTCTAGTCGAATTCTATCTCGTCCAAGTTTTACTGTTTTCAATTTGAAATCAACACCCAACGTACTGATATGATCATGACGAAATGAGTTCTCGGCAAATCGCAGCAAAATACACGATTTACCGCAGTTGTGGTCACCAACAATGACTATTTTGAATAAATAATTGTAACTCATGCTACGGTTGTTTCTAGCAATAATCAGTGGTAACGATTACACAAATGCTTGGCAGGAACAGGCTCTGTAATATGAATATACGATTTCTTATTTCATGAGCGATGAATATAACCGGCACAAACCACTGCAACACATTGCTACCGCACCGATGGCAATACAACAGCAAAATGTTGCAGTAGAGATGAGTACCTGAAATGAATAATATTGTAAACAAGTTGAACACAGATAGAGAGCAGGAGAATGGACAATACGCCAAAATCACTTGATATTGGATATATGAGATAGACATTTGAAAAAGAGTGACACATGTTCAGAGTTTAAAGGTCAACTAATATTGCACAAAAAATGTGGAGGTTATGAAAACAAATGACGCTTAGCTTTAACACGATAAACAGATAATTACAGAAAAAAAGTAAAAACAAACATAAATAGGTAAATATACAAATAAGTAAATAAATAAATAATTAATTAATTAATTAACCGATTAAATTTGAAATGCTGAATGTTTTCTAATGGAAATACAAGTCATCAAGTGAATGAGATAAAAGAACGAGCAGCAACAACAGCAGCAAATTCGCATCAAAATCTTACTGTGGTAGCGAAGAAGTAGCGAAAATGCATTTCATTTATTTCTCAATGCTTGATCTGATAGAATGGCGAGTGACTTGAACAATTAGCATAGTCAATTGAATAATAAAAAATGATTCAACGGAAATAAAGGATGAATTACTCTGAATGCTGGTGTCAGTTATGAAAACTGATAGAGAATATCTAGACTATATGAGAAGCGATGCACAATGAAGATGGAAAAATATTACTGAAAGAGATGAGAAATGTATAACTCGTATGAATACGAAAGTGATTACTTTTGACCTATTGATATAATAGAACAGTTGACTACTGCACTCATTGTATGTCTGCATGTATTGCTTGCATGTACGCAATAAAACATTCATTCAGACATACTGGAAGAAGTAGTAATAGTAGCCAACATTAGTAGGGGACGGCAGCAACAGTATTACATCAAATTTTACAGCTAGTTCCTACCTGTGCCTAGTGAGTACAAAATGCTAGGAGATTCCGCAAATGCAGAGAGAGGATGAGGAAATAAGAGAAGACATGCAGTCATGAGCTTTAAAATACATATTTAGGAAGTGAGTAGGACACAGGATATTTTATTCGGTGATCGTCAACAGCGTCGCATAATAAGGCACTACTGCATTTTTGATACGTGAAGGTACATTCTTAGAAGGAACATTTGGGAATACATACATCGCGTAGGATGCGTAATATGATAAGTGCAAATGAGACAAGCATCACTACAATTAGTGGTGAAAAGTAGTTCAGTAGTTTTGTATGGCGACTACACCTCCGAGCGATTACCACTTACTAGTATATTTGCTTTTCGTTCCAGTTCCATGTTCGCGCGCACAGACAATCAGCTCTTGCTGTTTATAATAAATCACTGAATTGGCGATCTTGAATTAATGAATTATGCCTTTCCATTGCATAATATATTGCAGGAACGAAAATATGATCAAGTTTTGTATTGATATGCATCAGTTAAGACATTTATTCATGATTGATTCACTTTTTCGCATCAATTTATAATCGTTTCTTTTTCCCGATATCAAATTCTTTATTAATTCTGCGATTGTAAATACGATCAGTAGACCAGTTTGTGATTAGCAAATTTTTTCCTTCATAGCTTTTTTGTAATCTGTCTATCTATTTCAGAATATTCAAATCATTCCTGAATAAATTTAATAATTAGCAATGTGTCTCATTTTGATCCTCATTTTGATTTAATAATTAGCAATGTGTCTCATTTTGATCCCAAAATGATAGTAATTCTCTGCTTTCAATTTCGTCATTCTTAATCATAAACTAGGATTTTTATTTAATGCAATTTACTTCTGCGTCTTCAAACCATCTTTAAGTGATTTTTACACGAAAAGAAATACATGCATGGAAATGTACGCCTATAATGCATAATTATGAATACGTAGAAGCACTCTAAGATCTATCTCATCTTTCTATTTATTTCTTACGAACTTTTCTCTTTTATTTTTTTAAATAGAAGAATTGATGTTTGAAAAGGATCTTAAAACGCTGCATAGAACCTGTACGGAATTATGTGCAGTTTTGAGGCAGTCAAATGTAACCTTTACATGCATACATTTTGTTCCTACTTAATTTAGGAATCATGACAAATAACAGAAAGCACAGTCATCGAATAACATATATTTCGCTCTTTATCTTCTGATTGTCTTTTTTCAAATGTTTGGTTTTTTGAGAACGTCATTAGGATATTACAGTTCTAATGATGTGTACGAATTTTGTATCGTCTTTACTTGATTATGCTTGCCAATTATTTCATAGAGTCTCAGCTCAGCCTCCTATTTTCTAACACTTCAGTAAGTTCGAACGTATTCAAATAAATCGTTTCCATCCTTCATAGACAAACAAAATTTATCATTTTTAATTTTCATTTTCCTACGTTCTTTCTTTTCAACTGATGATTTTTCAAATTTCATGACTTTTTGAAAGATTTTAAAAAAAAGTTTTCCAGCACTCTTGACAGATAGCAGTATGAAAACAGTCATAATATCACATTTTTATGGAGTTGAATGTTTCGGAATTACTGTCTTCTACATGCAAAAATGTCCAAACAATTTACAGCAGTACCAAAATCTACCTCTAGATTATTGTACTGCTGTAAATAGTGCCGCCTTAAGATGGAGAACAATGATACAAAACTACCAAATTGTTATTTAAAAAAGATAAATGATCGCATCATATTCAATAGTTAATTGATTATTTCAAACTACGATTTCTAAAGCAAATATCAACAACTCTGTTGTTACCGTCCGAATACCTTTATTACAATTCCTTTAAGACTGCTTTCAATTTTGACAAATTTAATTAGTGAAATTTCAACACAAATATTTCGTTTATATTGAAGAAATGAATTCGTAAGAGGGTCACATGCACGAAGTAGACAACATTCGCCAGCGCTTGTATTCTTGTTAATTCAAGATCTCAATCATCATCACAAAATGTGGCAGACTGGCTCCATATATTTCAATCACTGTCTACAAGAAAGTTGCGTCATCACAAACTCGTTCAGTCGGTACAAGCAATACGAGCCAAAACTGATGTAGAGAGAGAACTTAAGTGCTCCTATTTATTCTTGACAATTTTTTGCTAAATTTTTTCCAACGATTTTATCTTTGAAGCTATTTAGAGCTATTAATGCAATTGTAATTGATCAAATGCCAATAAATAGTTTGTAAAATTTTAACTTTCCTTCAGTGAAAAACTAATATTTAAATGTATGCTTTGAAAAAACAATTGAAAATTTTTTTTTCATCTCGGCAAACACAAAAACCGCTGAAAATAAAACAGTAAGTGACGGCGTTCAATTAAAAGTATTAGATGCAGTTCAAAAAAGAAAATCACACAGCAAGAAGCAGTGAGTTGAATCGGACGGATTTATCTCAAATTAAAAATTTATCAGAGGGGTAATAAGTCTTCCATCAAAAGATTCGCAATTACAGTTTGTTGCGACTTGCTTCCAAATTCTCTAGTAAATAGAGCTGCAATCAAAAATTAGACTGAAATGTCAAGAACGTATCTGCAGTGACTCCATGACCATAAAGATAATGCAGTAGTTATAGGTATTTCGGTGATATGATAAGTGTTATAATAACTGGTGTGATAACTGTTGTCAAGGATGCATGAATTGGTCGTCAAAAGCCATAATATCGACCAAAAAGGGCAACGAATTCTTCTCATTCATTTGCTACATCTTTTTCAAATACAAAAACCTTGGACATCGTAAAAAATAATTTTTTGTTGGCATTGTGAGAAGCTAATTATATTGATAGGACAGAATAAAAACCACCTAACATTTGAAAGCGCAGTGGTTCTGACAATTAAGTGGTCAAATGAGAAAGTAGAGGAACAGTAAAACATTTCTGCTTTTCCAAAATTTGCTTGTAATAAAGACAAAAGAATGAAACTTTGTCTGATAGGTCAAATTAATTATTATTTGTCACATTCATGATTCGTTTACACCGTACATAAAGATTTAAAATCAAATTATATGTTCATTTTTTGTGATTTGCTTCTGAATATTCTAAATCATTTTATTTAAAATGGAAAAACGAGTTTTCAAGTTTTCGAATTTTTCCATTTTATTGAAGATTAGCTCGTTTGTGCTTTAGTTCTGATCAAACAACTGCGAATGTGATTTTTGTGAATGTATGTATGAAAAAAGTGGTCCACCTTTTATTTCAAACAAATCTGCAATTAAAATTTATAGTCTACCGATCAAAAAAAAATCGAAAACAGTCTCAAGTATGTGAAACTATAAGTCATCAAAAAATTAAATAAAAAATACGCAGTGGCCAATCAATATTACGCCCCTTTGATGTGACATCCATTTCCACGCTCGCCAAGTTCGCATTTACAATCCCGATCTTCGAATCGTCGTTCTGTTACTTCTCTTCCATTATGATCTTTGCCAACCACACAAAGACATCCTAGAATTCAAGGCTAGAAAGGAAGGAAAAAACAAGTATTAATAAATGTAGCCATCCAGTTCATAAAAATAAGTATGCATATTTAGTGGTAAGAAAAAAGATTTTCAGGTGCTAGAATTTGAAAATACTTGCACTCAAGCTTTCCAAAGTTATATATATTCAGTGATGATGAAATAGAAACTCACCAATGTATAGCTATTTCGAAATTAAAAATTGAAAGCTGTTCATACCTTTCGGTCTTGGGTAGCATCCTTCCTTAAATCCTTTGAATTTCTCATTCAACTCATGAACAACAGCTCGATAATTTATTTGAGCTTGTTCTCGAACTGGATCGCGAACATTGTGTGATGGATGATCACTAGTAGATCTTTTATATTTCTAAAAAATCTTATCCTAGAACAGTATTATGCAAGAAAGTTCAGTAGCGAGAAATCATTAGTATCCATTTGTTAATGCACCTGAAACGTAAAGCTTTGATCAACTAAAATTCGGTGGTCCCTCACTGCTAGCAGCATAATGTTTCAAATTTTACATTCGTGGTTGAAAATTCACTCACATTTGACTGGCACTTTTGTGGACGATTTCACACCTGCATCCGATCAAGTAAAAACAGTTTTAGTCAAATTAAAACTGTAAAAAACATGATTCGTGGATTTGTATTTATATATTCTCGACTGCAAAAGATCGAGTGACTTGCAAAATTGTGTAGCACAGAAATCTGACGTACGCTTAACTACCATTCAATTTTATGAGATTGCAGAACACTAATCTAATACTCTTGCACTTTCTAATCAGGTAAAGTGAAGTGTTGATGATAATCCAGAATGAATGAAATCAAATTGTAACTTCTTACGTTAAATCAAAATAATAGAAATTTGGATCAAAAAGGAAGAAATTGAAGTCAGGAATTCTGCATTTATTTGGAAAAATACTCGATTGATGCACTTTATGAATGATCCATCCTCCAGTGGAGGATGGATCTGGAAAACAATATGACGAAGGTGAGTCACACTTCATTTTGGTGAAGGAAACAAACTTGAAGAATTTCTTTTTTTATGAAGTGCGCATTCTAATGTGTGAACCTCAAAAAAAAGGAAAATTGTGTCGTGTCAGGCTAATTAATGTGCATTGATAATGACTGTTGTATTCTCATAAGCGAGCGGTCTTGCCTACCTTACTTCTCTCTAAATACTAATGAGTGTATATATTAGCACCTGTTTAGAGTGATGGAGTTCATTATATATGGAGTTATTGGAATTATATATTGGAGTCAATAAATCAATATCGCATGAAGGTTATTCTTTTTTTCTTCATTATTGATTCTAGCACTGGATCGTATTCTGGCATTCTGCTGCACTCGCACCACGCTCACTTCTACAATGCTGATCTCCGCTGCTTCGTCCTCGTCGAATCCACGGCGCTGATCAGATTGAGATGCTTTTGAGCGTTTTTTGGAGCACTATCGACTGCGTATATGCTTCAATGTGATCATATATACTGATTTCCGTCACGAAACGATTGTATAAGTTCGTCACATCCCCATCCCAAGTTATCGCATGCACAATTATTTCTGTTCTGCATTTAATCTCTGCCCCGAGTTTACTAATCAGTAAATTACTTTCGCTTTTTCTCGTCTCGACTGCTATCAACCTGTCCTGACCAGTGATGCCAACCTCTATCAGGATTACTCCACGTTGCTTCTTATCATGTACCAGGATGTCCGGTCGATCCGCACTTATCTTCATAGCTGTTCTTACTCGCGTATCGACTCTGATCTCAACGTTCTCATTAAGGACGACCTCCTGAATAATATTGCGAGAATGCTTTCAACCCATACTTCTTGCAAAGTCCCAAATGGGGATGCATCGCAGAACTTCATTGTCTCTTCTAATATAGTCGTGATATAAGATCTTCTTTCACTGCGCTGCTAGATGGTCTACCGTCTTCACACGTTGCCTACAATGTTGCCACATACCTTTCTCAGCTCCAGACATATTTCTGTCTTGGAGGTGACAGTATCGCGCTTCATCTTGTGGCGTAATATTTCCAAATCGTAGTCACGTTGATGAATTTGACATCGAGGCTACTTTCTATTTTACTATACAGGAGTGCTTTATGAGTTGCTAATACGTTTATGACGGTCAGATTTTCTACCAGGTTGTATTTAGTCTGAAAATAGGGTACAAAAACTGCTAAGTAAGTGTTGTGAGTCTTTTTATGCTTCAAAATTGCTTGAAATCCTCTGGTAATTTTACAGATTGATTATGAATTCCGTATCTGTTTAGTAACTGCCTAATATCATGGTCAATTGCTTGAAATCCTCTGGGTCCATCTTGAGCATCACGACCTAATAATTTATTAAACCTATGACGTGCTTACTTACTGCCGTGATAAAGTTCGCGCTCATTTAGTGCAATCTTGGCTAATCGCTCAATTCTCACTAAATTATCTGTTCGCACTTTATTGTAGCTTTTTCGAGTTGGAACGCTAGTCTTGTCTTCCATTATTCCAAGGTGATTGCAGCATTCGCTTTTTCCTTCAGATCTTGAAGGCTAATCGCGCACACAAACTTCAAGCAATACAGGGAATGGCACAAGGACTATCCTCTTTCGACATCTCCCTGAAAAGGTCAGGAACCGCCTTCAGCACTTGACCTGCTCAGTTGCTCTGCGAAACCTCGATTCTTCGAATGAAAACTTCAAATGTAATCATCCTAATATTCCTGGTTTCGGTAAACTGGCAGAGTGCTCTTTTACATCTTTCACGGAGCTGTTCACAACCTCATTTGTTTTTCCATCTTTCTACTATGAAGTGCAGTTTTTCTCCATTCATTCTCTATTTTCTTCTCGGACTTCTGATATCCTGACTACCACACATCATTATTCTTTCGAACTCTATTTTGTTCGAAAACACAAAATGTGTACTTCGAGGAAAACACTCTACATCAGTCAGAGGTTTTTCTTGATGTAAAGGAGAAATATTTAGTGCTGATGGAAGAAGCAGAGGAATGTGAGATAAACCAGATGAAGTGGATGTGGAAAATAACATCGTAGAACGTGTACCCACTTATATTTGGAGCAGTGAACCAAGAGGTGGGTGAATATGCTGCACAGAATCACCGCAAGTCAATGACCGATATTACAAAGCAGTTCCAGGTAGCAGAACAATGCTACGAGGAAATGATAAGGCGTGAAAAAAGCCATCGATGTGAAAGGCAAACATAGAAAAGAAGGTAGGTGAAAATAACTTCCACAACACACTTATAAAACGATACTTTGCCGGTCAAGTACTTGAAGGTAAAATCCTGAAGGGGGCCACAAAGTGTATGAAAGGCACGAATCTCATACTTGCTCTCAAACGTGGCTGTCATGAGGCCTTAAGCATGCTGACAGAATGTGTGAGAGTTTATGAAAATAAAATATTAAGTTATGAGTTTCCATGTTTATTCAAAGGTCAAAACACCAGATTTTAGTTGTTCAAAAGGCAGTTTTATAGCAAACTAAAAACCTGAAAAGCATTCGATTCAATTAGTCACAGCCGCCTGATTAAATGTTACTCAAAGGCTCAACATGCGAGCGTACATCGGCAGATTTCTGGGAAGCATAATCTCCAGATGGTCGGTTACATTGAAAAGCAATGCAAAATCATAATAGAGAAAAAATACAGCGGGAATCCTTCAAGGTGACATCCTTTCTCTGCTGTTGTT